GCCCTACGCCCTCCCCTTCTACCATCCCTAGCCACACACAGCTCCACTGAGGTGTCAGGCTGGATTTGGGGGCAGGGGCAGGGAGGAGGAGGAACCCCTGAAGGCCTCCGGGCAGCGCAGGGGCCTTCTCTGCTTAGACCCTGGAGATCAAGCTGGATGTCCCCAGCTGCTCTGGGTGGGTGTCGGGGCCCCTGCCCTGTTGGACTTCGGCTCACGCTGACAGTGGCCTCTATCTTCACGGATAGGAGATGGGGCCCGGACCCCAGGGATGTGTTAGGGGAGCTGGGTACTGTGTCCCTGGGTACTGTGTCCCTGTGACGTATGCCTCCCCCACCCCCTGCCTCACCCGCCGTCCACAATCTCATCCAGCACCAGGAAGGCCCCGTCCAGGTTCTCCAGCAGCCAGCGCTTCTCCACATTCCTCCTGAGCAGACACAGTGCGTGAGCACCCACTGGAACCAGTACCGGAACCAGAACCAGAGCTGCTTCCCTGAGCTCTGCTTTCCCAGCCTCTCTTGCTTGGGCTCCAACACTGGAGACCTCAAGCGCATCTCACAGCCTGCCTGTCACCTGGGGGTATCTGCATTTGCATTGTCCTAGGTCACTTTGCCCAGACCATAGTTGCTGAGTGAGAGGCATAACAGAATGAGGATGCTGGGAAAACCATCCAGAGCTTCTGGTCCAAACCCCTGAGCTGAATGGAGGGCCTATGATCCCAGCACAAGGGAGGCTGAAGCAGGAGGGTCATTGTGATTTAAGACCAGCTCAGAGTAAGCCCTGGTTGAGACGCTCAATACTACAAAAAGGACAAAACAACCCAAGTAGGTGTGACCTCAGGCGACTCAAGAAGGCTGTGAGGGCCAGGGCTTTGGGGGCTTCAGTCTGAGGCTGGTGGGGATCTCAGGACTGCAGGGAAGGGGGACCTACGTGGGACAACTGAGGCCTTGGGCAGGGCCGGGCAGGGCAGAGGCATACTCACCTCAGGATGTGGCTCAGGGACTCAAACAGGCAGGTGAGGACAGACAGGAGCAGGAGCTGGGGAGAAGGACACAGCGGCTGAGGCCCAAGTTTCCAGAACCCTCAGCCACCCCGAGGGCTACAGCGCGCCCCGAGGGCTACAGCGCCGGTCTTCCCATTTACAGAGCTGGGCTGGACACCACTGCGTTTCAACCTGAGAGGGAACTTCTGAGGGTCTGCACGGGGTACAGGGTGGTTACACTAAGGAAAACTCAAGGCTGGGCGTGGGGGTGCACGCCTATCATCCCAGCACTTGGGGGGCTGAGGCAAGAGGATCCTCAGAAATCGGAGCAGCCTGGGCTCCACAGTGAGGTCAAGGCCACTTCGAACTACGAGGAAACAAAGCAAAACAAGGATGGATGGGTCCCTGCAGAGGGTGCGGTAACTTCATTTCTGGGTCCCTGGGAACCTAAGGGGTGTCACGGACACTGTCATCCCAGATAGAGCCATGCTGGCTGCTCCTCCCCACCCTGGAGCCAGAGCAGGGCTACCATGGTGCCCTCCCCACGGTACCCCACTCTTCACGACGGGCCCTCCCTGTCCCCTGCCCACCTGAACTCACCTCATTCTCCTGAGAGGAGCCCACCACATACAGGAAGAGGTCCACACTGCTCTTGTAGACGATGGTCATGCCTGCCCAAAAGGCGATCTCACCTGGAAGTGGGGGACACAGCTCTGGCCACTGCTGCTGGATGCCAGCCTGAACTCTCCTACCTGGCCCCCAAAGACCAGTGCTGGGGACACTGGGATGGGTGCTCAGCCCCTGATCTCCATCTTCTGTCTCTGCAGACGGCCTCATAGGGAAGAATAGAATCGTGCTGTGGGCCAGGCCCGGTGGCCAGGCCACCCCCACACAGGGGACTTCCTCAGTCAGGAGGGGTCCGCCTATGATGGAGCACAGGTGGCAGTGGGCAGGGAAGGATCCCAGATGAAGGGTAAAGGAGAGGACAGACAGCCTCAGAAAGAAGGGGGCGGCTGCGGGTGTGGACACTGCCAGGGACAGATGTGTCCAGGCAGGGATAGAGGAGGGCGTTTCTTTCAGATTCTGGAGGAGAGCGAGGCAGATACGTACTCTCAGTCTGGCTGGTCTTGCTGAAGACGTTTTTCTCAAAGATCATCTGCTCCTTGGAGGAGGAGAACGCGTCATCGTAATACTGTGGGGGGTGGTGAAGGGAGCACTCCTCAGGGCCTGCTCCTCCCAGAGGCGGGAATGGGGGTGATTGTCCTGAACCTCTACTTTACACAGTCTACTTTATAGTTTTGGTTTGTGTTGTTTTCTCAGGTAGGGTTTCAGTAGGTAGGTCAGGCTGGCCTTGAACTCACTGTGCACCCCAGGTTGGCCTCAAACTCATGACAACTCTGCTGCATCAGCCTCTGGCGTGCTGGGATTATAGATGTGCACCACCCTGCCCAACTACTTTACAAACTTTAAACCAAAGAAAGTCCAAGTCTCTCCTAGTGAGGCTGCTGTCGAACCTTTTCTTCTCCCCTTCTTGTCCTTTTCCTTTTCCAGTACTGGGGGTTGTTCCTGGGAAGCACTGAGCTACCTCCCAACCCTTTTTTAAAAAATTTTATTTATTTATTTATTTGTGTGTGTGTGTGTGTGTGTGTGTGTGTGTGGCCAGCTCAGCCCACCAGGGGGCGGGGCTGGCTGGCATGTGGTGCTGGGGGATTGAACCGCGGTCCCTGTGCTTTGCTAAGCTTGTTCTGAGTAGGTGCTTCAGACCACTGAGCCATCTCACCAGCCCTCCCAACCCTTTTTATTCATTTATTTTTGTGAGATAGGGTCTCCCCATGCAGTCTGGCTGGCCTTGAACTCACTACTCTATTTATCCCAGCCTGGCCTCAAATCCCAGCAGTCTGCTGCCTCAGCATCTGGAACATGAACATCACACAGGTGTGCGTCACCACGCCCAACAGAGTTCACACTGCTTGCCTATCACGCATCCCGCAGGGAGGACGGCAAAGCCAGGAGCCCTCCCTGATTAACCGTGAGTGTGAAGCACTCAGGTCTTCCCCACCTTCCACACTGGTAGGGGCCACAGGTGAGCTTCTACGCCCCAGACAGTCTGGCTTCAGACAGGGCAATGGTGAGGATGAAATATCTAGGGAGAAGTCTCTGGAACATAAGCCATAAGGAAATGGGCGCTTCTACGTTTGGGTTCCACAAGCCTCTCCCCTGACTCAGTTTCTTAATCCGTAGCTGTGTGGGCTCCGCTGGGTGGAGGCTCGGGTGCCTCGCGCATCCCAGATCCTCCCTGGCCCTCTGCTCGGGCAAGGTGTGGTCCGCTCACCTCTCACGTTTCTGGATGTGGATTTGCCACTTAGTGCTTTAGCTGCAGCTCCCCTGCAGGCCCCTGCCGGGGCAAGCAACTTCATTTGATTCTCACATAGACAACAAAATTCCGGCCTTAAACAAATGAAAAACATCTACAGTGCATTTCATAGCGAATTCGGATGCTTTAGCTCTGCTGCAGTTAACTGTGGATGGAAGTTTAGTTTGGTTCACGCAGGCTGCTTGCTTGGATTGGCTCCAGAGCATTAAACTGCACCAGTGAGGGTCACTCTGAACTTCAAGCCAAAATCTTGAAACCTGTGATCCTGGTGTTCTGGGAGGCTGAAGCAGGAGGACTGAAAGTTCAAGAGCAGCCTGGCCAGTTCGGTGAGTGAGCAAGATCCTCTCTCAAAACATAAAAGATAAAAATCTCTGGGATTTAACTGATGGCCTTCCCACCGGGCTACCCCCCAGAACTGGAAAATAACTTTTTTTTTTTTAATACCAGGAATTGATTCAGTACCTTGTGCTTGCCAGGCAGGCACTTGTACCACTGAGCTATATCCCTGGCCTGAAAAAACAAATCTCAAGTTGGGGAGTACCACTGGAACCACAGGTGATGCCCTTAGCAACTCTACACCCCATTTTCTGCATCTGTGAAATTAAAGAGTTGGATTATATGCTCCCCAAATCCTGCCTGGTTCTAAATCCTTGCTCTCAATCCCCATGGTCACCAAACTGTGGAACAAGAGCGTAGGCTGCATGTTTAGAGCTCAGGGCTCCCAGGTCCCAGGCTCTATAGCCCACTGACCTGTCAGGTGCCACAGCCTGCTACCAGGTGGGAGGGTGGGAAGGTGGCACCCATGCTGGGGAGCAGAAACAGGAGGTGCTGCTGGACAGGGCAGCATCCAGAGGTCTAAGCAGTGCTGCTCTGTGCCGGGGAAACCCAGAGGAGTCCCTGGGGGCTGGGTGGGAGCCCCCTCTCTTGGGGCTGTGGCTTGGTGTCCAAGGTGGCTGGGGGGGGTTACCTTGGCCAGCAGCCGGCGTCCGTCATTATCTAAGATGAACACAGCCTTGACGGTGTAGAGGGAGGGTTCCTGCAACTGACGGGGAGGAGAGCTTGGCTGGGCCCCAGCGCCAGCGGACCTGTCCCGCCAGGAGTTCCGTGGGACCTGCGGCCCAAGAAGCGCATCCGGAGACTCGGGACACCCAGCCCAGGGCCACATGGCCAACTCCACGGCCACTCCGCGCCCACACAGACGTCCCCTGCAGGCCCCTGGGTGCAGAATGTCCTCCTGGGCCAAGTTCTGTCATGCACTGACTGCCCCAGAGTCCGAGTCGGAGTGTATCACAGAACCTGGGCCGGGGGGACAGGCGCCGGCCTCCTCCATGCAGCTGGCCCAGAGTTCCAGAAGTGCGACAGTCACCCACGGGCGAAAGGGCGCTCTGCAGGCCCACTTGCCCTGCTCCCCTTCCAGCGGAATGCCCCCCACCCTGGCTCCGAGCGCCCCAGAACTTCAGCAGCGCGGGACAAACTTTGCTCTCCTCCCCGGCCAGACCCCTTCCCCTGGGCCGGGCAGCGGTGGCGCACACTTCCCGTCGCGGGCGCCAGCTGTGAGTTGGCCGCCTCTCCCTACTCCAGGGTTTCCCGGACCCCGCCGCCGGGACCCCGCGCCACCGCTGCGTACCCGCAGCCCGGACGGATCACTGGCTCGGGCGGACGACGTCGGGACCCCAGCCTGGGTTCCCATGGCCCCCTCCCCGGGGTGCGGACGTGGCCAGGCCTCAGGTCTCTGCATTCCGCGGGCGGCCAGGCTGACAGCGCCGCCCCAGCCCACCCCGCCCCCCGGCCCTCGGCGGTCCCGCCCCAGGACTCGCCCCGCCCCCGGGCCCTTTCCCCGCCCCGCCCCAGGGCTCGCCCCGCCCCACGGCACGCCCCCCTCTTCCCCGCGTGTGGCTCTGCTTCCCTGCACGCTGTGCACCCTCAAGCGGCCCCAGTACCACCCGCTCCTTCTACCTCCTCTCCAGTCTGTGGCTTTCGCTGGCATCTGTGCCGCAGACAGGGGAAACCCTCATTTGCCCCTAAACCCTGGTATCATCTGGGCAGCGGTGCCGGGTCTTCCGTGGATCTCGAGCTCCTCTGCAGGGAGGGGCTGTCCTCCTCCCGCCCAGGTCCCAAGAGTCTCTTGACTCCCCCAGGACAGTGGCTATGCGCCAGCTCCCTGGGGCACCAGGCTGTGCAGCGGGCTAGGTGTCTGGCCCTGTTTGCAGCACATGCTGTCTTTAGGGTCCTCTGCTATGGTCAAGGGCTCCTGTACCCCTTTACATGGAGCCCTCTCGTGCTGCGCTAACGTTGCTGGAGAGTCAAGCACACAGGCTCCAGCCTGCCGGGCCTCCTGGGCGGCTATGCAGGGGCAAGACAAACGTTTTCTCTTCTTGGTTTAGACTTTATGTGACTTTTTCGAGATGCTATATACATAATGTTGTAAAGACAGGATCTCAATTGTCCAGGCTGGGCTTGAACTTGGGGTCCTTCTGCTTCAGCCTCCCTGAGTGGTTTGTTTTTTGTTTGTTTGTTTTACTGAACCGAGGATTGAACTCAGGCCCTTGTGCTTGCCAGGCAAGCGCTTATTCTACTGAGCCATCTCCCCAGCCCCTGTGCTTGATTTTTTGTTTTTGTTTTTGTAGAGCCTGAGATTGAACTCAGGCCTTTGTGAGTGCTTGGGATTACAGGTGTGCATCACTATAACAAGGCAGCCTGAACTACGCAGCGAGAAGCCATGCCCTGGAACGAGGCTGACTAGCACAGGAGCCTTCCGTCCGCTGTGGTGTAGTCCCCAGACGTCACACCAATTTGTGCATCATGAACATGTATTGTTGTAGGTATATAATGTCCATGTTTATGTTTTAGAATATTTCTATTGATGAGTTATGAATTTTAAGAGCTGTGTTATATTAAACAATGAGTACTTAACTGGAAAATATTTAAAAATTGAATTTCTTTTTTTTAAAATCTTTTAAAATTTTTATTTTATGTACAAAAGAGTTTGCATGGTCTCTTTCATTGAGCATCCGTATGGCCTGGATAATCCATCGAAGGAAGATCACTTAGTCCAACTTGATGAAGCCGATGTCCTTCGCGTACTGACGGAAACACTGGCGGCACATGTTCAGCCCATATTTCCGAATCAGACCGTGTCGGTTCGAGCAGACGCGGCAAGAGCGGGAGCCCTGGTCGAATTTCCTCGGGTGGCTCCAGTAGAGTTGCTGATGACCCATATTGCTTCCAGGGGTACAAGGAGGCAAAAGGCTAAAAATTGAATTTCTAATATTTATTGGACATAAAAAAGCATCAAGGGACCAGTGAAATAGCTCAAAAGACTAAAGTACCTGCTTAGGCAAGCTTAGGCAAGTGCGGAGACCACGGCTTGATCGTCAGCATCACGTGCCACGCCAGCCACGCCCCCACGGTGGGCTGAGCCGGCCAGAGTCCAGGCGTAGTGGCACCAGCCTGTAATCCCAGCGCTGGGGAGGCTGAAAGCAGGAGGCTCACTACAAGTCCTAGCTGTGTAGTGAGATTCTGTACCAAATACATAAAAAGAAAGAAAGAGAAAGAGGGAAAGAAAGAAAGAAAGAAAGAAAGAAAGAAAGAAAGAAAGAAAGAAGTACCAATTCCTTATGATGGATATGATCATTGTTTATATCGTGTGTGTATGTGTGTGTGTGTGTGTGTGTGTGGTGGAACCGGAAACTGAACTCAGGCCCGGCAAGTGCTTATTCTACTGAGCTATCTCCCCTGCCTGACTCATTGTTTTTTTTTTTTT